TTTGTGGTTAAAAAAACGAGTTTATACGGAGGTGTGCCAGTTGTTCACATGCGTATCTGCCTTCTCATTGGCTAGAATGTCCCCACCTGATCTCACCTCCCTTCCATCTTTGAGGACATGTATTTCCATTGATCTATACTGTACATGTACACATTACATTCATTTTTTACCATAACCTTTCTTTCTTTTTAATTTCATATCATATTTAACATAGAGACGTTACATAATAGACAATCTTTGGTGGGAGCAAATGGAGTTTGTGTTGAAATGTATAATGGAGAAAATGGACTGCCTGCTGGACTGTGCCACCGTCTTGTCAATATATTAGATCATCTTTGCATGCAATTAGAATGGCTTCCCCCTACTGACAAACCCACCTCCTATTTCACTTCTTCTTTGGTGAGGTTTTATGGCGAACTACACACAAAAAAGTGTATTGCTGTCACCAACTGGACACTTTTGTCACGTTGTATAATGATTAGGAGACAGGCGCAGGAATACGTATTAAGGGTTTTATTACTCCACCCAACACAAACACGTGTATATACAGTGGGAAGAACAAGTATTTGATACACTGACGATTTTGCAGGTTTTCCTACTTACAAAGCATGTAGAGGTCTGTAATTTTTATCATAGGTACACTTCAACTGTGAGAGACGGAATCTAAAACAAAAATCCAGAAAATCACATTGTATGATTTTTAAGTAATTAATTTGCATTTTAATGCATGACATAAGTATTTGATCACCTACCAACCAGTAAGAATTCCGGCTCTCACAGACCTGTTAGTTTTTCTTTAAGAAGCCCTCCTGTTCTCCACTCATTACCTGTATTAACTGCACCTGTTTGAACTCGTTACCTGTATAAAAGACACCTGTCCACACACTCAATCAAACATACTCCAACCTCTCCACAATGGCCAAGACCAGAGAGCTGTGTAAGGACATCAGGGATAAAATTGTAGACCTGCACAAGGCTGGGATGGGCTACAGGACAATAGGCAAGCAGCTTGGTGATGAGGAATCAATGATCATGAGGAAGGTGAGGGATCAGCCCAGAACTACACGGTAGGACCTGGTCAATGACCTGAAGAGAGCTGGGACCACAGTCTCAAAGAAAACCATTAGTAACACACTACGCCGTCATGGATTAAGATCCTGCAGCGCACGCAAGGTCCCCCTGCTCAAGCCAGCGCATGTCCAGGCCTGTCTGAAGTTTGCCAAAGACCATCTTGATGATCCAGAGGAGGAATGGGAGAAGGTCATGTGGTCTGATGAGACAAAAATAGAGCTTTTTGGTCTAAACTCCTCTCGCCGTGTTTGGAGGAAGAAGAAGGATCTGGAGAAGGTCTGTATGGAGGAGTGGGCCAAAATCCCTGCTGCAGTGTGTGCAAACCTGGTCAAGACCTACAGGAAACGTATGATCTCTGTAATTGCAAACAAAGGTTTCTGTACCAAATATTAAGTTCTGCTTTTCTGATGTATCAAATACTTATGTCATGCAATAAAATGCAAATTCATTACTTAAAAATCATACAATGTGATTTTCTGGATTTTTGTTTTAGATTCCGGCTCTCACAGTTGAAGTGTACCTATGATAAAAATTACAGACCTCTACATGCTTTGTAAGTAGGAAAACCTGCAAATTCGGCAGTGTATCAAATACTTGTTCTCCCCACTGTATATACAAAGGGGATGTAACCCAAACAAAGAGTGAGGTGTAACCTGCTACACAATACATGGGATGAGACCCGTAAACAACCAGAGCACAATACACGGTACTCACGAGACCAACGGACATGGGACAAGACAGTCCGGGGTTGGTGGTAATGATCCATGTCAGTGACGCCTAGAAAGCTGGTGACGTAGACCACCGGAACTGGTGAACGGAATGAGCAGCAGTACCGGGGGGATCCGTGACAACTTTATGGTGTTTTTAATGTATGTGTATGGTACACTTGTCCTGTTGATTATGCTGCAAACATGGCTTTTGCTTTGGACATAATAACATTTTGGGAAGTGGTACCATTTTCCATTTTCATTTTGAATACTCTATAATATAAACAATACATGACAATACAGCTGATTTCATGGCATTCGTTTTTATTCTCAGGATACACACACTTTTTTGGTAGCTGCATTGTAATATAGCACAATTTTGCGAACATTTCCAAAAACAAATATAAAGAGTTAGACAACTGCATAGAAATGCAGGACTATGCCCCATTATAATGCCCCATTATCCCCTTTTAAACATTAACATAATTTAAAACTCTGGCAAAAGTTGAGTTTCAATTGTTTGTATAGAACTAGCAATATTTCAGTTTTTCAATATTTCATGACATGAAAATAATTAAGGGGGATGAAACATTTTCATCTTCTTCATACACATCGGAATCCTCCACCAAAGATTCCCTTTAGTTCCAAAATGCAGGTCCCTCATACATCATGAATGAAGTTGGATTGTCATAGTTCAAGTTTGGGAAACAAAATTAAACCGACTGCATAGACGAAAGATAAAATTCAATGAAACAGGTGCTGCATCACACCAATGTGAAATAAAACAAAAACTAATTTGGATTTTAAGAAAAGGATGCATTTTCATAGTGCACAAACTAAGTGATTTTTCCACCCTAACTGGTAAAAATGATTGGTGCTGAGAAATTCTGAGCACACACAGGGCAGTGAGGACACGCTGTAAAAACTCACATTCTGAGGTTCCACTTTACACACAAGTCCCTGAATTGAAGCACTTCTGTCAGTTCAGTTTAAGTGGTGGAATGACGAGAGGGAGAAGGAAGCCATTCTGGCTCTGGCTCTGTTCTGGGTTGAGGAGGTGCCACTGTCCACAGGGACAGCAGATGGTCTTGAGAATGCTCCGGGCTCTTCCCTCCCATTGGTCCCTGGTCACTTCTCGTCTGGTCCAAAGCAAAAGCTCTATAATGGCAGAAAGCCCTGCAGCTAGCTAACTATACACTGGACTATATTATATACACCCACACGCAAAGAAAGGATGTTTGACTCCATAACTGTTTTAGTGATGTGTTGCACTATAAAAATAGACATGTTTTAACAAACATTGTTATTCAATGGTTAGCTGTGTGTAAACAATGTTTAGGGAATTTTAAGCATGCTTTCAGTCAATATCTTTGTGTTGTTATGATATAGGACACAGTACAGCTGTGTGTTGTACTATATAATTTAGTATACAGCGCCATGCACTACAGCCTAGAACAGTGTTTCCCAACTCCTGTCCTTGAGTACCTCCCAACAGTACATATTTTTGTTGTGGCCCCTGCCAAGTACACCTGATTGCACTTGTCAACTAATCATCAAGCCCCTGGCAAGTTGAATCAAACGTTTTTGTCCGGGGCTATAACAGAAATGTGTGCCGTTGGGGGTAGCCTACTCGAGGACCGGAGTTGGGAAACACTGGTCTAGACAACAATCAGCCCAAACATGCTACAGTATTGGGTGGTTTAGCTAAATCTATCTGGCAATAGAGAGTGCATTCTGTCCATCCCCATTACTATTCACTCAGATTCACTTCACTGTGTAAGCTCAATTGGACGGCATACTGAACTGGAATCATGGCATTATACGAATATAAGTTATTGTGTTAAAAAAGCATCAGGAAGCATTTCCATTACAGCTACCAAAGTCTCTTCAATGACATCAGTAAGGCAAGTGTTTTTCAAGGTGAGGAGTGTGGGTCGGTGTTTTGTTCAAGTAATGAACTCTTCTGGAAGTACTGGAGATTGATTTGAGATATATTTTTGCTGCAAGGTTGGCAACTGGGGAGAAAAAAAAACATGCTGTACTAGTGTATGAGTGAACTCACTGAGGTGAAAATGTAATGCATGTGCTACACATCACAGCAGTATCTCAAAGCCACATCTGATAGCCTACCGGTTAAATACTCTGACATCAATTGTAAATGGAAACCCAATATTTTGCTTTAAATGGCATGTTAGCTGCAGTGGGAGTGGGGGGATAGTTTCTGTGAATGCGCATTACATTCCAAAGATAAAATGTAATTAATTACAAAGTCATACATGAATGTGGGGAAATATAATGATCATAAATTGATGATAATGATACAAATTAGCTTTGACTCTTATCAGTCTCTTTTGTTATTGTAGTTAACACTTATAATCACAAGATAAAATGTGTGCAAACAGGGGCTTTCAAACAGGTGTATGAAACAAGAGTTCCAAGGATATTCTCTTGGTATCATGTCTTCTCAGGTTTGAGCTTGTTAGTTGAAAAGAGTATGTTGAGGATGAAGTGAATATTGAGGCTTGCACCCTGTACAGTGCAGTGATTTTGGGGTCTCAGTGAACAGCCTCTCTTTTTCACTATGTGAGGGTGAATGTCATATCCTTCAGCATTGGAATGTGGTCCAGGTGACAATGCCATTTTGACCTGGATAAAATCCTCCATCACTTCCTCAACGGGCAGTGTCTTTGTGCTTGTTGACAAATGTTAATACTAGCAAACCATAAAGTGTGAATTCAGAACAAAATGGCCGACAACAAAGCATAGTTAGGTAAATGTGTGGCGAATTAATAATCAAACAGGGTGAATTTATCTAAACTTCTACAAAGAATACATGAGAGAGTCTGTACAAAACAATGGCCTTGTCATCGAAGAAATGGTGGAGGTTTCCCATGTTTCTGACATGAAAATGTCTGTGCATGAATACTCCAGCTCTTCCTCACCCTTCTGAGCCTAAAGATGGTATGGACGGTGATATGGTCAGGCACTGCTTAGATTTTTTGGGCAAAGCTGGATGACACTGGTGGTCTTGATGGGCTTGGTCCTACTCCTTCTTGGTCCACCTCCATTTTCTCCCAGTCGCTGCATGCGTTCCCTTCTCCCTTGGTGACGTGTCAGCCTGTGTCAGCTTGGAACGTGGTCCAGTACTGGTTGGACCGTGGTGGTGGTGGTGGTGGTCAGATGGTGGTGGTGGTCAGATGGTGGTGGTGGTGGTGATGGTGGTCAGATGGTGGTGTATATGTAGACGAAGATGACCACCAGCAGGTTGAGCACGGTCCCGATGATCCCCAGCACGGCTAGGATACGCTCCTCTCGGTCGTTCACAGGGTCCTCGGCGTGGGCGTGGCAAACATGCCGGCCATGGGGGACCATGTTTACCATCAGTGAGCCCCACCCCCACAGGGTGCTATGCCTACAGATGGGGAGGAGAGAGACAAGTGGGATACTACCATTTATCTGTTGTAAGTCATGTTTATGCTGTACCTTATGTAGTGGTCTCCAATTCTGACCGCAGACAGACAGACAGACAGACAGACATGTACAGTCGTTGACTACTTTTCATTTTAGACGAGCTAGCATTTCATATTATTCAAGGGATGAAACATTTTATGAAGAACAAAATCAAGCTTGACTTTTTTCTTATGATGACCCATATTTGGGTAATGGTTTCAGCATAACAGTGAGAGGGTCCCTGCTCCTGTCCCTTTCCATGCAACAGCCCCATGTGTTAATTCAACATGATGCCCATGTCAAACTTAATGTTTTATCATCCAATTCCAGCCTCATCATGGGATGACAGTTCTGTGCTACTTTGTCATCGAGGGACCATTCAAGAGGACTGAAGTAGAGAGGACAGATTGCCGTGGGTGTCTATGGAGTGCTCTTACTGATACAGCTTACAGGTCAGTTTTTGACAAAACAGAAACAAACTCTCTCCTGGCTGCACCTGTTGGCTTCCCGCTGCACAACACAAGGCCGGACAGAATAAACAATAGAGGAGCCAACAGATGTTGTAGCAGCATAGGGGGCACCGGTGAAGCCTGGGAGACAGTGATGTCTCCCTCCCTCTGCTCTGATGTGACTTAGCCATTCAGCGGTGAAACACGATTATTTCCAACCCAATTAGGGGGAAATACATGTGGCACCTCCTCGCTCCAGGCCCCAGCCAGGGAGTCACTCACTCACACATGGCCCCGGTGCTGCCTCTCCACGCTGGCCTCTCAGAGGGGGAGGGAAAAAGACTGTTCCCCTGCCAAATGACGAGAGAGAGAGTCAATTAGAAATAATTTGAGGTGGGAGAGGGAAGGAGAGAAAGGGGAGACGGAGAGAAAGACAGGGATAAAAAAAACAAGAGAGAAATAAAAAATAGAGGGGGAAGGAGTATGAAGAACAGAGATAGTAAAACAGAAATAGAAGGAGAGATGTGGCAGTCTCAAGCAGCGTTCTTAATATATACTACACTACTTCTTGATGTAGCGGAAACAAACTGGCTATAATGGTTTTAAAATGTCTCCAGTGGAACATAAACATTTAATTATGCTTTTATTGCCTACATCCAGATTTTGATTCTAAGTTCTGCACGCCACTTTGACTTATCCAACATTATTAGATTTCATCATAACCTAATTTCAATTTACGTGCAACTGGTAGCCTACTGACTCTCTGTTATTCACTTCATACCCATAGAAAGGGCCTCTCCCAAAGCCCCATGGGTAACAGTGAGTCACTGGGTGCTGACAGTGGACAGGGATCTGATGGGATGGGTGGGGATGAGTTAAGGTATGTTCCCCCTAGCCCAGGTCCAGTGTCACTGAGAAAACCCATAACAATGTGATGCCTATTTTTCTGTAATCAAGGCATTATCCACCCAACATATATTATCTTCTACAAGCATGAACCAGTATTGAAAGGAATATTGTGTAGATGGTATTAAAATACTTTATTTAGGTATATCGGTCCTCATACAAGTTGCAGGTATACAGGTTCCTAATTTACCCACCACAGCATATGGATCACTCTAACCTATTCTATAAGAACCACATTGGACTGAGGTAGATGGGAAATTGATGCTCTAGGGCAAACCCCTCAATGGCCAGACACTGTGATTGACATGGCAGTCAGCCTATCAGAGGCATATTCACAATTATCATCAGTAAAAGAGCACATATAACCCATTTATTTTGAGTCCGTAGCTATGTTCTATCTTAGCCAGTCTGTACACAATACAGGCCCATTCAGAAAGCAAGTATTAGTGATGGTTCATAGACTCGCTGAGATTACAAGACTTCACACTGCAACATTAATATCATAAGGGATCTGAGCGAGACACCATCGATGATTAATGCACTTAAATTTGCTCTTTAAAGAGCACTAGCACAGTGGAGTTAGCGACAGAGAAAACGCTACTGGAGCTACTTTAATGGCAGAGCATCCATCATGAGAGTCAACTGAAAACTATTATAGTTAAACAGTGTTCAAATTAGACAAAAAATAACAGCGTGTGCAGCTCAGTTCAGACACTTTCTCTGCAAGAGTCTAAAGCAAACTTCTTGATGTTTTATTGTTCTGAAACCTCTTTAAAGACAACCCCCAAAATCTCCAAGCTCAGACTCCTCCATTTGTTTATGCTTTTCTGAAGACACACATGCCACAGTCTACTAATGGACTGTACATCTGAGCACTTGACATCTCACGTGTAATGGGAAAGGTTTTGAGATAAACAGTCAAATGTATTTGTGTATACACACCTACAGTACCAAGTACTGTACCCTGCTCCCTCTCCCATTTTAGCACTGCCAGGTAGAGTTGTACTGGATTGCCCTCTGTACGCTGGGTTTGATAGGGAGCTAGCTATCCTTAAGTTCATAAACAACTGCTGCTGGCTTGCAGCCAAACACTTTAAGCACTAAAGAGAGATCAGAGATAGGTGTTGATGAAGTGAGGGCGACGTCAGACCGTTCACCTTGGGCAATCATGCGAGCACGCACACGTACACGGCAGGGCCAGAGAACTTCGGGTCACCGCTGCTCAGAGAGGAGGTCGACAACGGAATGTTCCCAGTTTCACTCAGCACTAATTGCCAGTTAAATCAATCATGCTTATTACTGTCGAAGAGTAGAGATCCATTCTTTTATAGTTTGTTACTACTATTGTAGTGTTACTGGCAAACAGGAGGAGAGAAGTGGTACTGTACACATGATCTAGAAAAACAGTAAAACCTTCAATTACAATGCTTTGTGCAGCTTCAAGTTCAAGTTCTAGCTCCTTGTACCACAGCGTTATATATTTAGGAGTCAGTATTCAGCCAGAGGTGGAAATATTAAGGAATAATTAAAGATAGAACAGTGTAAAAGAAGAGAGGTATATAATTGTTCAGCGTCACTGCCTGGAGTGGGAAGAGTCTGGCTGTCTCAGGCAAGTAAAAAAAAAACGACATGTACACTACCGGTCAAAAGCTTTAGAACACCTACTCATTCAAGGGTTTTTCTTTATTTTTACTATTTTTTACATTGTAGAATAATAGTGAAGACATCAAAACTATGACATAACACATATGGAATCATGTAGTAACCAAAAAAGTGTTAAACAAATCCATCTTCAAATAGCCACCCTTTGCCTTGATGACAGCTTTGCACACGCTTCGCATTCTCTCAACCAGCTTCATGAGGTAGTCACCTGGAATGAATTTCAATTAACAGGTGTGTCTTCTTAAAATTTAATTTGTGGAATTTCTTTCCTTCTTAATGCATTTGAGCCAATCAGTTGTGTTGTGACAAGGTAGGGGGGGGGGGGGGTATACAGAAGATAGCCCTATTTGGTAAAAGACCAAGTCCATATTATGGCAAGAACAGCTCAAATAAGCAAAGAGAAACGACAGTCCATCATTACTTTAAGACATGAAGGTCAGTCAATACGGAACATTTCAAGAACTTTGAAAGTTTTGCAGTCGCAAAAACCATCAAGCGTTATGATGACTATCGCCCCGTAGCACTCACCTCTGTCATCATGAAGCGCTTTGAGAGATCAGTCAAGGATCACATCACCTCTACCTTACCAGTCACCCTAGACCAACTTCAATTTGCTTACCGCCCCAATAGATCCACAGACGATGCAATCGCATTCACACTGCACACTGCCCTATGCCATCTGGACAAGAGGAATACCTATGTAAGAATGCTGTTCATTGACTATAGCTCAGCATTCAATACCATAGTACCCTCCAAGCTCATCATTAAGCTCGAGGCCCTGGGTCTGAACCCCGCCCTGTGCAACTGGGTGCTGGACTTCCTGACGGGCCACACCCAGGTGGTGAAGGTAGGAAACAACATCTCCACTTCGCTGATCCTCAACACTGGGGCCCCACAAGGGTTGAAATCACTGGCCACTTTAAGAAATGGAACACTAGTCACTTTAGTAATGTTTACATATCTGGCACTTCTCATATGTATATACTGTATTCTATAATATTCTACTGTATCTTAGTCCATGCCGCTCTGACATTGCTTGTCCAATAATGTATATATTCTTAAATTGCATTCCGTACTTAGATTTGTGTGCATGGGTATATGTTGTGAAATTGTTAGATATTACTGCACTGTCGGAGCTAGAAGCACAAGCAATTCGCTACACCCGCAATAACTTCTGCTAAACACGTGTATGTGACAAATAACATTTGATTTGATGAAACTGGCTCTCATGAGGACCGCCACAGGATTGGAAGACCCAGAGTTACCTCTGCTGCAGAGGATAAGTTCATTAGAGTTACCAGCCTCAGAAATTGCAGCCCAAATAAATGCTTCACAGAGTTCAAGTAACAGACACATCTCAACATCAACTGTTCAGAGGAGACTGTGTGAATCAGGCCTTCATGGTCGAATTGCTGCAAAGAACCCACTAGTAAAAGACACCAATAAGAAGAAGAGACTTGCTTGGGCCAAGAAACACAAGCAATGGACATTAGACCGGTGGAAATGTGTCCTTTGGCCTGGAGTCCAAATTTGAGATTTTGGGGACTATCATTTGTTTTTCAACAGGACAATGACCCAACACACCTCCAGGCTGAGTAAGGGCTATTTTACCAATAAGGAGAGTGATGGAGGGCTGCTTCAGATGACCTGGCCTCCACAGTCCCCCGACCTCAACCAAATTGAGATGGTTTGGGATGAGTCGGACCGCAGAGTGAAGGAAAAGCTGCCAAACAAGTGCTCAGCATATGTGGGAACTCCTTCAAGACTGTTGGAAAAGCATTCCAGGTGAAGCTGGTTGAGAGAATGCCAAGAGTGTGCAAAGATGTCATCAAGGCAAAGGGTGGCTATCTAAAATATAAAATATATCTTGATTTGTTTAACACTTTTTTGTTTAATACATGATTCCATATGTGTTATTTCATAGTTTTGATGTCTTCATTATTATTCTAAAATGTAGAAAATAGTAAAAATAAAGAAAAACCCTTGAATGAGTAGGTGTTCTAAAACATTTGGCCGGTAGTGTAGCTCTTAAAGACATAGTGTTGACATTTCCCCAAAATTATCACACTATAGCACACTACAGTTGAAGTCGGAAGTTTACATACACTTAGGTTGGAGTCATTAAAACTTGTTTTTCAACCACTCCACAAATTTATTTTTAACAAACTATAGTTTTGGCAAGTCGGTTAGGACATCTACTTTGTGCATGACACAAGTCATTTTTCCAACAATTGTTTACAGACAGATTATTTCACTTATAATTCACTGTATCACAATTCCAGTGGGTCAGAAGTTTACATACAGTAAGTTGACTGTGCCTTTAAAGGGCTTGGAAAATTCCAGAAAATGATGTCATGGCTTTAGAAGCTTCTGATAGGCTAATTGACATAATTTTAGTCAATTGGAGGTGTACCTGTGGATGTATTTCAAGGCCTACCTTCAACCTCAGTGCCTCTTTGCTTGACATCATGGGAAAATCAAAAGAAATCAGCCAAGAACTCAGAAAGAAAATTGTAGACCTCCACAAGTCTGGTTCATCCTTGGGAGCAATTTCCAAACGCCTGAAGGTACCACGTTCATCTGTACAAACAATAGTACGCAAGTATAAACACCATGGGACCACACAGCCGTCATACCGCTCAGGAAGGAGAGGCGTTCTGTCTCCTAGAGATGAACGTACTGTGGTGCAAAAAGTGCAAATCATTCCCAGAACAACAGCTAAGGACCTTGTGAAGATGCTGGAGGAAACAGGTACAAAAGTATCTATATCCACAGTCCTATATCGACATAACCTTAAAGGGCGCTCAGCAAGGAAGAAGCCACTGCTCCAAAACCGACATAAAAAAGCCAGACTACAGTTTGCAACTGCACATGGGGACAAAGATCATACTTTTTGGAAAAATGTCCTCTGGTCTGATGAAACAAAAATAGAACTGTTTGGCCAATGACCATCGTTATGTTTGGAGGAGAAAGGGGGTGCTTGCAAGCCGAAGAACACCATCCCAACCGTGAAGCACAGGGGTGGCAGCATCATGCTGTGGGGGTGCTTTGCTACAGGAGGGACTGGTGCACTTCACAAAATAGATGGCATCATGAGGAAGGAAAATTATGTGGATATATTGAAGCAACATCTCAAGACATCAGTCAGGAAGTTAAAGCTTGGTCGCAAATGGGTCTTCCAAATGGACAATGACCCCAAGCATACTTCCAAAGTTGTGGCAAAATGGCTTAAGGACAACAAAGTCAAGGTATTGGAGTGGTCATCACAAAGCCCAGACCTCAATCCTCTAGAAAATTTGTGGGCAGAACTGAAAAAGTGTGTGCGAGCAAGGAGCCCTACAAACCTGACTCAGTTACACCAGCTCTGTCAGGAGGAATGGGCCTTAATTCACCCAACTTATTGTGGGAAGCTTGTGGAAGGCTACCCAAAACGCTTGACCCACGTTAAACAATTTAAAGGCAATGCTACCAAATACTAATTGAGTGAATGTAAACTTCTGACCCACTGGGAATGTGATGAATGAAATAAAAGCTTAAATAAATCATTCTCTCTACTATTATTCTGACATTTCACATTCTTAAAATAAAGTGGTGATGCTAACTGACCTATGACAGGGAATTTTTACTAGGATTAAATGTCAGGAATTGTGAAAAACAGAGTTTAAATGTATTTGGCTAAGATGTATGTAAACCTCTGACTTCAACTGTATATTAGAACCCTTACTAAAACAGCACAGACACACACACACACGCACACACACAACAAGATGAGTCACAAAGAGTGATGGCGGAGGAACCAGAGGCTTATGATGGCCCAGACATCCACAGGCCTCATTATAAGCTCTGATGGACAGGCAGCGTGGGAGGAAAGAGTGGCGCCTGGGGCCAACGGATGACTGTCAGATCGCTTCCCATTCTTTCGCTCATCTTTCGCTTTATCCCACTCGGATTAGTGACTAACCGTCCTTCCGACCAGAGCATGTGGACTGACACTGGATTAAATTCCTCGCTTCCCCTTTTTCCGGTGTTATTCCCACTCCCATTCCCATTAGCTTCACCAGTGACCTCTTTTTGGGATCTCTCCTTGATGTTCAAGAGGTGGCAGGTTACTCATGCCCTTTCCCATTTCCCTCCCTTTCTCTACAAATGAAATGGCCATTTACTGGCAGCAGCATTTGGATGGGGCTGTCATTCTATTTAGATCTGCAACTCAGGAAGGGGCAGCAATGCATCCTCTATCTCCACCTCTCCTCCAATCAATAAAACTGAGAGAGAGTGGCTTAACTGACTCAATCTAATCAAATACAAGTTGATTGTTAGTGATTGAGTGGTGTTTCAGGGAGAGATTGGAGGATAAAATGTGAGAAGCAGGGGGACATGTAGAGGCTCTTGAAGGAGAAAACCACTGCTTCCCTGTGGCATCCAGCTACATTCGGATTGATCAATCTCTCCTCCCCTGGCTTCTCTGTGAATTAATCTCACTTGTGGGAATGCTCTGTGTAGCCACACATGTCTGGGATGAAAGCCCCTGTGTTGATAGTGATAGATGGATGTGCTTCTGAAGAACACTCTCTCTGACATAGGGACATACACCCAGGTGGCCAATTCACACCTGTCAGCCATGCAAAAACGTTAAAATCGATGAGGGAACGCAATACTGACACTAAACAGTTACATGGGAATTTTCAAAGTGGGAAAGTTACAGACCCCCTATTTTCTATATGAATATGTCAAACAAACGTGCTACATCACATTACGATCATAATTCTTAATGTGATATTTTTCAAACGTGTCAAAAGGAGTCCGAAGGTACAGCACAAGTGCAAGCATATGAGCATCATCCTACAGGATGAGTGTGCTTACAAAACTATAGTCAATTCTGACCATATGACCTATTGGAAACACTGACAGGACTCGTTGTTGCAGATGCTGGAAATCACGTAGTGGACATTTTGGTTTTTGCCCTAGCACTACACAGCTGATTCAATTAATGAAAGCTTGATAATGAGTTGGTTATTTGAATCAGTTGTGTCTAGTCCTTGGGCAAAAACCAAAACGTGCACCAAGGGGGGGTCCCAGGACAAGGTTTGGGAAACCCTGTTATAGAGCAGGGATGGGCAACTCTAGTCCTCAGGGGCCTGATTGATGTCACACTTTTTCCCCAGCCCCAGCTAACACACATGACTCCAATAATCAACTAATCACAATCTTCAGTTTAGAATACGTTTAAATCAGCTGTGTTTGCTAGGGATGGGGGAAAAGTGTGACACCACTCCGCCCCCGAAGACTGGAACTGCCCATCCCTACTTTAGAGTCAACAACAGCCTGACCTCTGACCCAGCTCACTTTCTAAACAAACCCCTGTGGGAAAATATAACACAATGAAGGTGAAAGGAAATAACCTCCTAATTAATGGAGTCCCATGGGAGCAACATAGTACTCTTCAACAACATGTTCAGTGACTGTTTCTCTGTTTGGCTTTTTGTCTATTCGATAAACATTAAGAAGCTGTATCGGATAACATCTTTCTCTCTTTTTCCTCTCATACAGTACCATGACACAATGACACTCGTCATGCACAGACAGGCAGACAGACAGACAGACAGACGCACGCATGCACACACACATCTCCATATCTCTATGACTGTAATGTACAGTATGTCAACTAATGTCTTGCATACTCACCACACATTGCACCAGGGGGGTAGCCAATATGCCCCTTCTTTTTTGCTATTCCAGTATCCTCTCCATGTCTCCACCTTCTTGCAAAGTTCCTTCTCCACCCCCTCCCTCTCCCCTGGCACACTACTTTCTTCCTGGTCCAGGTCTCTCGCTGTTGGAAAACAGTTCAAATGTCCTGCTGCAACACAGAGTTGTTTGCAGTTATTCTATGTTTCACTGAAGCGGTCCCTTTGAAACTCTGATGCTTTTAAGTATTGCTTTGGCTTCTCAAGTAGAATAAAGTCCTTAATTAACTTGGCTTTGTATATGGTTAAACCTCCAGAAGGAAGAGTCCCACTTGGTCTGATCTGAGCTTTTCCTCAGGTGTCAAGAACCTCTTTCCTTTGTTTTGTTTCCACTGTGTCGGTAATGGAACATTGATTTATGCTTTTCCAACATGCCTGTCGCTATCAATATTTGATAGGAACTCTTGCTGTTAGAGCTTGATTCCCTCTGTCCTTGTCGTGAGGCTGTGGACAACGTTTTTCCTCCGCTTCATATAGTCGAAGTCCCATCTTCTGTCCCAGAGGTCTGTCTGCTCAGTGTCAGTTCTGCATTAAAGTCTTCACAAAACGTCATCTGATTCTTTGCACTTGTTGTGGACCTGTAGACAGTCTTCCCCACCCCAAAATGATGTATTATTCAATTAAATTTGTATATTTCTCCAAATAAGATCTGCTGCTGGTTGGAGCTGTATTCAAGTAGGAAGGGTTTTCCATAGTGGCAAAAAGGGCTGGGAATGTAGCCATAGCAGAAATCAAGCCAATGAGAATGGGACTGGAGGAGAGGCGGAGGGAGGAGGTTGCAGAGAAACGTATGTGGGGGTGGGATGGAGGGGAGGGGGACAGGTGGGTCAAGTTCTGTGTCTAGCTGTCCTCTGGTCCTCTGTGACACCCATGGATTTCCTCTGAGGACACATAAAGTTGTGAGTAACAGCCACAAAATCCCAGATAGGTATTATATTGCTCTCTCTCTGAGGCTGTCAAGCTTACTCCATATGCTCATCCATCCATCATTCTCTCTCTTACACTCCCTCTCTTCTTTGGTCCTTCTCTTGACTTCCCTAAGCGTTAGCTGGTTGGCTGTCAGATACCCTACTTCTCCTCTCACAGGGACGGATGATGATTTAAAGCCTGGCGGTTAACCTTTTTATTGCTTGTCCACGTTTTCATGATCCTGAAGGAAGATACACATCACTTTGCTGTCCATCACTTTCACAATTCCACCGTCTCTCGTTCTCTCTGTTTCGCTCACTCCACATGCGTCTCTGTGTTTCGCTGAGCAGTTCTCTTTCCCCTCCTCTCTCTCTCTCTCTCTCTCTCTCCCCACTTCGAAGCTCCTAGAACAGCTACTAACTGACAGCATCCAAAATCCATTCATAATCCTGCTTTATAAATTACCCATGTTACTGGTTATGCACACACTAACACACAGAAAGATACCAGCACACACTCTGGGGAGACATACATAATGGAGTGCTAGGTTACAGTAGTATATAGTGTGGTTATATATAAAATACAACAAATGACACTAAATATATGACTCAAAACAACAATTTGAGCACTACTCATAAGGCTGTTACTGCAGAACTAGTCTACGGCTCAAACAGCAGAATCAGTGCTGCCGTAATAACAGTTCCAATTTCTGGCATAGCACCGGTATGAGCTGCTGTATTCTGTACAGTCCCCCAGTAGCACCAGTGCCAATGTGCCTGGGACTGTGGCCCACTGGCCTCCAGCTCCATACCCATTACCCAACGCCACCATCTGGGCACGGGCACTGACAGCCAGCACACAGGCTGACAGATCGGGAAGCACGCTCGCTGGAACCAAGGAGGAGGCATTTACAGTTCTGCCTCTGTTTATGTTTGGGTGGGTTGGTGGAGTTGGTGCCATTAGGTTGTTGAAATACAATGAATGGAACAGAACTTACACTGCAAGGTTATCTCATGTTCTTTGCTACATGTTCTATGCAGGTACAGCTAGTACACATACAGACACACACACATGCACACACACACAAGAAAAGTGCAAACATACATTATCGCATTATCAGAGATTTAAATGACATGAATTAATGCTTTGTCACAAGGTGTGATAAATGAAAATAATTTCCTGTAGCTTAAGCTTTATTGCCGAAAAACTTTCCGATCAACACCGTAGGTGGTTAAACTTCATTTATTTTCTTTTTTAAATGTTTTCCGTCAACTGGAGCAAAGCCACAAAATAATTAACTGGAACCATGGTAATGGCGAGGAGGAGAATAAACCTTTCTGTAGGCTGAATGGGCACATTAGCTTAGAAGGGCTACAGAAAAGAAAGTAATGGAATGGGAGGTGGTTGGGGAAGGGGCCAGTCAGAATGGAGGCAGTCCGTCCCTTTCTAATGTATTACTCCTTTATTTTCAGGAAGGATTATGGGAAATTCCTTCATCTCTTTTTACCCCGAGAAAATACTGATAAGAACAGAATGTGTGTGTGTCACAGATGTGACACACACACACACACACACACACACACACACACACACACACACACACACACACACTACTCACCTCTTTCTCCCATTGCCGGATATCCTTGAGTCTGACTTAACCCAAAATCAAGCAGCAGGTGGTTGCTAAGCAACTGCCTCTGTGTAGACCCCTGCTGCATCACAGCCAGCCTGCTGAAGACAAGTCAGATAAGTAACAAGTAAGGGAAAGAGGGAGGACGGGTGAGGGATGGGCTATTATAAAGCATTCAGCGTGTTATACTTTAGAAGATGTTTAGGAGCGGACTCAGGAGAAGTTACATAATATATGCAGGCTGTCATGACAGTAATGTCAAGTAATGTCATATTGCCGCGGACCCTACGTATGTAAGCTATTATGATGGAACATTCAAAAGAAGAGTTAATAAGATGGTTGCGTTGTCCCAGGTATACTCCCGTTCTCTTATAACTTGACAGTATCATTCTCCTGAAGCAACACGGTCTGAGCCTCTGAAGCTAGAGAGACAGGCAGGCAGCACTCACATGTGCCCCCCTTAACCCCCCCCCACACACACACATCTCCCTCCCTCTCCATGAGAGACTCTGTGGGGATGTGACAGAAGAGGAAGTGCAGCTGATAAAATATTAACTCAGTCAGCACTGTAGGGACCTCTCTTTACAAGCATTCTACAGGAGGCTTAGTGAAGCAGCTCAAAGTCCTTCATTCACAGCCTGGTCAGGCAGGCTGAGTGAGGACAGAGGGATGGAGAGATGATGCCGGCATCGGGAACTAAATGTGACTGCAGGACTGATTGTGCTCTGAATTATGTAATTACTGATAACTTTGCTAGCAAAAATGTGGTCTGGGGGACCCACTGGTGTTTATCTTAGAATGATTGATAGATGGAATATCCTGCCTGGGGTACAAGCTGATACCATCAGGGTGGGGAGTGTCCACTAAAGGTTATCAGATGTTGTTGAAGACTTGTGTAACATAGACTATATAAACTAAGAGATTTCCTTTGTCCAGCATTCAAATAGCAAGAGGCAATTGACTTGTGTCTTGTTGTGTTGAATCCGGTACCGTATTATTAAATACATTGTATCAACTCTCCATCTAAGTGTTTAACTATCTTCTTGCATCCTGAATTCCTTGATACCAGAGAAACTCATCATAACAATTGGCATCTAATGAACAGGATACAGTTGACGTCCGAACCAACAGATAAGCAGACTTTCATTTATTTCGGATTGTGTTAAAAACTTCTTATCTGTGGTAAAGCTGAACTGAAAAGAAAGTTAAAATTCAATATTTATGAGGGGGAAGATGAGTGGTATTGAGTTATGTAATGGGATGTAAGGAGAAATATCAAATTAGACAATGACCTGGTGCTATGATTCAAACCAGGGTGCGTTCAGATTAATGAGTAAAAACAACAGAGGATAAATGAGTGGGTGCAGTAATCCATTAAAATGTAAGGCATTATAAAGAGGTGGGTTTGATTCCCTTAGTGTTTGATAGGCATTATAAAAGATTAATGTTACGGGCCTTTGGTGTGTTAAATCATCATAAAAAGAAGTACCGAATGAGTCCTTTTTGAATTACTCAGAACGGTCAGGAGAAGAGAAAACAATAACTCATACGGCATAAAGACTCGAGCAGATACAATTAAACATATTGAATCATGGCACCAATGACTAAATAGACAAACAACATTTTAATAGATATTAAGTTGGGGATTTTATTCAAATATATAGTTACTAATTTGCATGAACTAATAATACAAAACATGGGTAGCCAACTCAGTAGACCTGAATCTGGCAAGGCAATCACAATTAAAAATAAATCAGAGTTTGATTTGCCTCGAAGAGAAAGAAAGGAAATTACTAAAGTATTACAGACAAATCCACATTTAAAATATGTCTCTATTAAAAAGTATCGAAAATCAGACACTGCGCGAATGGATGTTAAGTAAATTAGGATATTTCTATGTGGAACCATATCTCAGTGATTTATCAGCATGGACAGATAATGAGTATCTTCAAGATGGTAGTCAATGGAACAACATAGTCTACCTTACGAAAAGAGTGAGCCCTCATGACAAAATGAAAGGAATTTATCCACAGTTAACGAACTCTGTCACGGTTCAGACAGACGACCAGAGGACCACAATTGCGTCACACCAGAAAGTTTATTAAAACTTAAGGGAAAAGGGAAGTAGGGAGTGAATGAAGGCTCCAGGGGTAACAGGGATCCCGTCCAATGTGCTGGGTCTGTGCCCCCCCCCAGTGGCAGCGATGCGTCCTATGAAGCCGGTGGTGGGTGGTCCAGAAGTCCTGGGGGGGGGAGACACAGACACAACAGGGCGGAATGAAACAAGGCAGCAGTACAGTTCAAGGGAAATCCAAAATACGTAGTAGCAAGGCAGAAGGCTGGTCAGAGTTACCGGGATTGAAGAGTAGTCAGGAGTCGTTATGGCAGAAGCAGGTCTGGATCTCCTGGGGCAGAAGAGTATCCAAAAATCAGGCAGGTCCGGGGTCACAAAACCAGGGTGAGCCAGAAGCGCGAGCAAACAGGTTCCGGGTGTGAGCTTTGCAGACGATCTGACACCGGAGAGCTGAAAGACAGGGCCTTAAATACTGGGAGAGGTAGTGGGTAATGCAGCGCAGCTGGCAGAGTAATTAGAGCAGAGCAGAGCAGGGACAGGTGGAGCTAGTTAGGCTGAGTAGAGAGAGTGGTGAGCAGAGTGGAAGAAAATAAAGGTGGTAACCCGGTGGAGTGAGAGGCTCATGACAGAACCCCCCCCCCCAAGGGACGGCCCCAGAAGTCCCAAGAGCAACACCACGCCGGGCGGGAGGAGGGGAGCCGGAGGAGGGCTAGAACTCCTCCGAACGGTCCGAGTGAACGTCCTCATCCTCGGAGGAAGCCGGAGGGCCGTGGTCGGGAGATGGGACAGGTCCCGAGACAGGATCAGGCACAGGACAGGAAGCCGAGCGGGCAGGACGGTCAGGGACCCCTCTGGGGCGGCCCCTACGGATTGCAGGTTGATCAGGATGCCGTTGGTGGAAAGCGGTGATGAGAGTCCTATCCACAATCCGACTAGCTGGCACCCAGGTCCTTTCCTCAGGTCCATAGCCCTCCCAGTCAATGAGGTACTGGAGACCCCTACCCCTCCGCCTGGACCGAAGCAGGCGGCGGACGGTGTAAACCAGACCACCATCGACGAGCCGTGGAGGAGGAGGACAAGGCGCAGCAGGGACCAGCGGACTCTCATGGATGGGCTTAATCTTAGACACATGGAAAGTGGGGTGCACCCTCAGGGAATTAGGCAGTTGGAGCCGGACAGCAGTTGGGCTAATCACTCTTATGATAGGGAATGGCCCAATGAACCGAGGTGCCAGCTTCTGCGACTCCACCCTGAGTGGCAGGTTCTTCGATGACAACCACACCCTTTGACCAACATGGTAGGTGGGAGCAGGAATTCTCCGACGGTTGGCCCCGGTAGTGTAGCTGGCAACGGATCTGAGGAGTGTGGCTCGGGCTTGTGACCAGGTGCGGCGACATCGACGGGCAAAAGCAAGTGCAGATGGGCAAGTAACCTCCTCTTCCTGGCTGGCAAATAGAGGAGGCTGGTATCCATAAACACATTGGAAAGGGGACATACCGATGGCAGAGCAGGTCAGTGAATTGTGTGCGTACTCCACCCATGTCAATTGCTGCGACCAGGAGTGGGGGTTGCGTGAAGTCATGCATCGCAGTGCCTTCTCGAGCTCCTGATTAGCCCGCTCTGACTGCCCATTGGATTGGGGATGGAATCCGGAAGTCAGACTGACTGTGGCTCCCAGCAGGTGACAGAACTCCTTCCAAAAAGCGGAGGAGAATTGTGGACCACGGTCAGAAACTACATCCTTTGGCAGTCCGTGGATCCGGAAGACGTGTTCCAGGACCACCTGGGCGGTCTCCTTGGCGGTTGGGAGCTTGGGGAGGGGAATGAAGTGTGCCATCTTGCTGAAACGGTCAACTATGGTGAGAATGACGGTCATGCCACTTGAAGGGGGCAGCCCCGTGACAAAGTCAAGGGCGATGTGAGACCAGGGACGTCTGGGCACAGGCAGGGGCTGCAGCAATCCGGCTGGGGGCTGGCAGGACGACTTGTGTTGGTTGCAGATGGGGCAGGCTTGGACGAATTCCCGTACATCCTTTCTCAGAGAGGGCCACCAGAACCTCTGGGCGAGCAGGTTGTAAGTGCGGGTGGAGCCAGGGTGACAAGCTAGGCGGGAGTCATGTCCCCACTGAACGACCTGGGACCTCAGGTCTTCGGGGACAAAAAGGCGGTCAGCTGGGCAAGTGCTGGGACCTGGCTGGTTACGGAGAGCCTCCAGCACCTGTTCCTCAACAGCCCAGGTCAGAGCTGCAACGATGCAGGGACTTGGCAGAATCGACACAGGGTCCTTGGAGGGGGTGTCATCCTTCTGGAATTGACGGGAGAGGGCGTCTGGCTTGGTGTTGCGTGATCCAGGCCGGTATGACAGAGTGAAATTAAACCTGGTGAAGAACAGGGCCCAGCGGGACTGCCTGGAGTTCAACCGTTTGGCCGTGCGGATGTACTCCAAGTTCTTATGATCGGTCCAAACGAGAAATGGAATGGTGGACCCCTCCAGCCAGTGACGCCACTCCTCCAAGGCAAGCTTCACAGCCAGCAGCTCACGGTTCCCTATGTCGTAATTGCACTCAGAGGGGGACAACCGACGTGAGAAAAAGGCACAGGGATGGAGCTTCCTATCCTCCGCAGCCCACTGAGAAATCACAGCACCAACTCCCACATCCGAGGCGTCCACCTCCACAATGAATTGCCGGTCCACATCAGGCATCTGGAGGATGGGAGCGGAGGTGAACCTCACCTTGAGGGTACTGAAGGCTTTGTCGGCTGCTGGGGTCCAGGTGAAGGGTTGCTTGGTGCTGGTTAGAGCAGTGAGAGGGGCAGCAACGGTACTGTAGTTCCGGATAAACTTTCTGTAGAAGTTAGCAAACCCCAGAAACTGTTGCAGCTTCTTTCTGTTCTCCGGAACTGGCCATGAAGTGACTGCTGATACT